TAGCATTTGGGTAGTGTTATGAATACATTTAAAAATAAAGTATTATATAGGTATTGATATGTACCCAATTTATTGAAGCATGATATACATACAGAGAAGTGCACATATTATAATAATACAGCTTGCTGAATTTTCACAAACTGACCACACATGGGCAACCAGCACCAAACCCCAAGAAAAAGAACATGACCAACCTCCCAGAAGTGCTACTATGCCCACTCCCAGTCATTAGTTCCCATCAAGAGTGACCATTATTCTGATTTCCGATAGCATAAATTAGTTTTGCCTTTCACTTAGCATTATAGTAATGAGATTTATATATGTTACTGCATTTGGAAGCAGACTGTTCACTCTTAATATTATGTAATATTCTGTTATGTGGACATATCACCAATTATTTATCCATTTTACTGTTAATGGACATTCAGGTTGTTTCCAGTTTGGGGTTATTATAAATAGTGTTCCTCTAAGCTGTTTAATAGATACCTTTGATATACATTTGACATTGATATATTCCTAGAAAATGAATTGCTGGGCCATAGGGTTTTCATATGCTTAAATTTAGTAGATATTACCAGTTTTTCAAAGTGGTTGGACTATATACATAGCATTTGATTTCTTGAGGAATCATTCTGAGTAGAGAATTTCAGTATAACCATTAAGAGAACAAGTTTTAGAGTCACTCAGACCAAATTCAGCTTGCCAATAAATACTGGTAGCTATACCACTTATGCACAACCCTCTCAAGCCTCAGTTTATTCCACCGTAAAATAGGTGTAAAATGCGATATTATTTTAACACAACATAGAAAAATGCCTGGCACATAGTCAGTGCTGAGCTATGGTGGTTATTAATCATTAGCTCCTACAACTTGGACAATATGAAGAGCTGGAAACAAATATGGGCAATATAATCCACAAACAATTTTCATTCTCTGATGGAAGGAAATTGAAACTCTGACCCAAAAGGAATTACCAATTCTAGGAGCATTACACTTAGATCCCCGAAAAAAAAATACATTTAAACACGATCCCAAAATGCATTTGTAAATTACTCTTGCCAGAGGCAGGGTTCTTGAATGCAGTGCATTATGATCCATTTTTTTCCCTCCTACTAGACATTACTCTTTAAAGACAAGACTGCCAAGGGCTACTCTGGAAAGTCACTAATATTATACTTTTTATTATATTTTCCAATTTCACACCTTCCTTAAACTAACCCACAAAGTTGTTGAGAAGTGACTGTAATTGCAAAATTAGTTACTAGTTTTCCTTGAAACTTACCAGTATCTACAGCATCTTTCACAATCCTAAAAACCCTAAAAATGATCCCAGATCCTTGCTTTAAACTGCAAAGAATTTGCCATTTTTAGTAGGCAAGAACTTGATAACTTCAGCCTGGATTTCAGCAGTTGATGGGGCAGCATCCTAGAAAGTAATACAGACATTACACTTAGTACAGAGGTACTGTTTTAGCTAGTTGCCCGGGAGCAGCAGACCCAGTTATCTTAGGCAGGTTATATTGGAAGGTGCACTCTGTTCCTAATAAATTGAATCAGATCCCATGTATCAGTCACTATTTCTCAAGAAATAAAGCACACAGTCTACTGGAAAATATGCCATCTTTTGAGGCCAGCTGTAGACCTGAGAGGGAACTTTTTGAACATTTAATTGAAAAATCTTTGATTTTACAGATGAGAAAACTAGTCATGTAAGAGTCTTGCCTAAGGTCAAATGATTTGTTCCCTGGACAGGCAGAAAGCTCAAGTCTTATTTACATTTCAGTGGTTGCTCTTTGTTCTTGTGCCAGGGCCCCTCCCATGCTCCCATTCTGTCTCCTACCTCAATTTCATGAAGATCCAGACCTGGGATCCAGAAATGGGGACCCTGCAGAGTGTGACTTAAGGGGATGAATAACCATTACATTGTCATTAGGAAGGGCAAGGTGAGTGAGGCTTGCCTGCTTGATAGAACACAGGATCCAAGAGGAAGGACCTTCTTCCTTTGTGGACCACTGCATTCTCAGTACCTAGAACTGTGCTTGGTACATAATAGGCCCTATGATTGTTAAATGAATACATGAATGAATGAATGAATGAATGAATGAATGAATAAATCTTGGTTATGTCAGGTTGTCATGTCCTTACTGTTTTATCTACCATCTCCTTCCAGTAATACAAAAATAAATAAATAAATGTGCACATTTAGATTCTAAAGAGATGTCATGTACAAGCGTCTGGTATGTGCTTGAACCACTGTGAGCAATTAACAAATGTCAGTTCATTTCCCTTTTCTTCCTCCCCAAGGGTGGGTTACTGGGGTATGGCGTGATGTGTCACGGTGTTTATGTGCCTGCACAGAAAGTGAAGCGGGTATCTAACTGGCTGGCGAGAAAGGGCTGTTGGCGTCTTTCTAAACTTAGTAAAAAAATTACTGCCCGAAAAAACGCACAGCTATTTTATCCAGAAAGGCTAGTCGCTTTTGTTGTCAGATTCTCGGCTGCAGTAAGCTTTTTAGTACAACTTTTTGTAAGAGCTACATCGCGGCGACAGGAGAGGCAGTGATAGGAAAATCCTGCAAGACCCTCTCCTTACCCAAATTAAAGGTAGCGCGCCCAGGCGGGGCCGGCGTTTAGCCAGTCTAAGGGTCCTGGTCCCGGCTGCGCCGCCCCTCCAGCCCCGCCCCCTCGCCCGCCGCGACTGCCCGAGTTCAAGTTCGGCCCCGGCCTCCAGCTGCTGCTCCGCAGCCGCCTGCGCGTCCAAAAAGCCAGGGTCTGAAGGCGGCGAGGAGGGTCCAGAGGTCATCATGCTGCGGGGTCACTCGGGCACGCGTGGTGCTACCACGTGGAAGAAAAGTTTCCAACTCTGCCCGTGGGGCCCCCCCAGTGCCCTCCAGTGGAGCCGAGGTCTGCGCTTTGGCACCCGCTCCCACGCTCGTCGCCTCTAGTCGCGACCCCTCCCAGGGAAGCCCCCTTGCGTCCCTTCTCTGAAATCCCTCCTTCGCTCACGGCGCAGGTCGCCCAGGGAGAATACTTGGGGGGGCCTCCCGAGAAGGCGGCCGGGGAGCCTCCGGAGGGCCTGCGGTAGGGGGTCTGGGGACAAGTGTTCCGAGGAGGGTGCGGGGGTGAAGGCGCGGAACGGGGCGCCCGAAGTGGACAGGGGACAGTGGCCCACACGCATCCCCAGTGCGCCTGGCGGGACCATGTCACGGCTTCCACACCCTCGCGCGCTAACTTCGTGGGGCCACAGCCGACCCCACTCAGGTGGCCCCCTTCAGAGCCCCCCCATCCCACCTTCGCTGCCCACTCCCCGCTCCCCGCCGCCCCCAGTCGCCCGCCCCCCAGTGCGCAGCGCGCATGCCCTGGGCTCGGGAGCGCCCCATTGCCCTGGGGCTTCGGCTTTCTACACACTCTACAACTAGGCCTTTTTGCTTTTCTAACACAACTTCTAACAACTGGGGGAGGGGGCGGGGGTCGGAGGTAGCCCCTGGGGCCCACGGAAAACCAGCCCGGTTTGTTTCCCTTTGTGGCCGTTATCTCCTCTTCGCTCTTCGCCTTGTCTATTCCGGCTTTTCGCTCCGCCGACCCGTTTTCCTTTCCTTGTTCTTTGGAGATGCCGGCTCTTGCGAATTCCTTAAGATTGGCTTCGTCGGTGTGT